TCCTTCCACATTTTATAATTTCTTATATTGCAGTTTATATCGTATTTAAAGAAGTAAAGTTATAGATAAGGAATGATAACATTATCTTTTTTTTCATACAGACGCATCACCGCCGACTGCGCCTTAGGACACTCGCAAATCGAGTGCAGTCGCTAGATTTATTTGCCGACAGTTGAGCACACAGAACTGAAATTGCCTCAATATCATCGTCTATGTTATCCGCAACATCGGCATTCCTGTTCCAACGTTATATTTACGCGTTTCGAAGTAAATTTAATAAGACGAGCGAAAAGGGAGCGCGGGCAGAGTAATCCATCAACGGAGGAACTACGTCCGTAAAAGACAATGACGATCATCTATAAAAAGACGTTGCGCTGAAAGGAGAAAACGGAGTAAAGCGCAATGCGAAAACGTGATCGTGCCGATCATCTCTATTTATAATCATATAAACGACGGTGCACGACGGTGTCACGACTTTGCATAATGAATAGAATAAAATACTACTAGCAACGTCTAGGCGTGACATGAATTCTAGATTGTAGCAAATCCTCTGCATTTTCTGTCTTCGCAAGTTTTAGTCGCATAACTATAGAAATGGTGAATGTGCTTTCTGCAAATCTCCCGTAAAAATTATATATAAATGCGAAATGATGACATTCTCTTTTTCAATTATGTTTGGATTTCAATTTATTCTCGAATAATTTATTGAATTTATTATCGAGTACAACGGAAGAGTACATAAAATCGAGCTATTATAGAATATGCATGTTATAATTGGATTTAAAAAAATAGATTACAAGTAAGCAATCATTACAAATAATCATATATGTATATGCGAATTGTTCCGTAAAACGCAGTTTGCCAAAATAATACGTATTTGATTTCACTTACAATTAATTATAGTTTGCCGAAATAATACATTACATGATTTGACGTTATAGAGTATAATGTATATTCTATAATAATGTCAAATCATATAATACATTATTTTGGCAAGCCGTATGACTAAATTATTTGACATTTATGAAATATATTATATTCTATATAATAACGTGTACGAAAATATAGGTATTAGAGATTATCGACAGTATATTATTTCGATTATATAAGACACCTTTGTTTTTTTTTTACCGCAAGTAATAAATAGGTACAAGGTAAACTCGGTCTTCAATGGAAGATTGTTTTAAATTTTTCAACCTTCAAGTTCTCACTTACGACATTTTAATAGAAGATCCGAATTGAAAATCAGTCTGATTGATATACTATGTTTTCATGTCGCGACCTTTTCTTATCAGCCTAAATGTAATTTAAGATATCTACACTCACAATCAAGAGTTTTGCTCAATAAAACTTTATGAAACGAAGGCTTGGGCAAGCAGAATGTTTATTTATATACGTAATAAATTATGGATGTTATGTCAATCTCTCTCTTGCAGATGATCTTATCTTGGATTTTACATGCCGTTTATTACAAATAAACGTTTTCGACGAAGCCGTTGCTAAATTTATAGCCAGACAATCGTGTTACTTAAACAATTATTACGCAACAAGCAAATCAAAGCATTGTTTCACATGGTACATTAACTACATTTCAAGAATTTTATCATATATATTTAATGACAATGTCAAATGACAATTTAATTATATTAAATGGAAATGAATTACGCTTATATTACACAAATTAACTTGCACGATTTCTATTTATAATAAGACTATTCGTAAGAAGATAACTAGATAATATAGAACTTCTAAACTAATCAGATGTTTGATCGGCCTTCGAAAGATTAGAATTCCCTTCGAGGTATGTAGTTTTCGAATTTTTGTGTTATTTGACTTCTCTTACCTTTCGTATTTAAGATTTGTTGCTCGACGGACTGGACATACGATTCTTCCGGTACCTGAATAATCCAACGAATTTTCTTCCGCTGCATCTGAAACGACGTAGTTGTCGATAATCCAACGATATTTAAGTATCGCAAAGTGTCGCGCGATTTGCGATCGATTCTAACCGCTAGACTGAATGAGATTAGTAGAGTAAGGCAGATTTAAGGCTGCCGCGACGATATCGGCGCGATTATTTTTTACGAACGAAGGTTTGCCGATAATACGAACGAGTAAAGCACTTGCATTGGTATATATAGTAGCAATCCATAGCAAACCTTTAAATTATCACGAAAATATTTACGAGTTGACTCAAATCTGGTATTTTGTGCAATTACAACCAGACATTGTTATTATTTATGTCTTAATTTAAACATTAATTTATAACATCTCTGTGAACCTAGTAATCTCATGAAAAAAAAAGTTTGACTATATGCCATAATTAAATGCTCATTTATTGCTAATTTATAGCCTTAGTCACGAATTTATTGCTCTTACTCATTCGTAGGAAATAAATATATCAAAGATGGGAGTGTTGACTTCACGTTACACTATCTCTACTTCCGAAAAAAAATGTACAGAGTACTGTAAAGAAAAAAATAGGTATACATATCAAAAATTTTTGCTATTTTTTTATTCTAAGATATTGCAAAGAAACATCGAGAATTTTGATTAATTATACCTTACTCTTGCACTAACACCATCACACTCCTAACAGATTTTTTTAACTCAAACAAAGAGCAATAAATTCCGAACTGGAATATTTTAAGAGCAAATAATTCCAGAAACATTTTAAGAAGATTTTAAAATTGACACAGCAATTAATTGCTTTAATGTATTTTACTGAGAAAAAATCTGTCAGGAGTGACGGTGCTAGCGTATATACAAGAATAAAGTGCATTAAAGTAATTAATTGCTGTATTAATTTTAATCTTTACATATTTTTATCTATGTATAAATATACATATATATTTATATTTATAAAATATATATTATATAAATAAAAAAACTGTATGTATATATTTATACTATATATAATATGTAAATATATTTGATTATTATTTTTTGTTAAATTATTCATAATTCAAGAAAATTTATTATTAGACATGCAATGAGAAATACTTTCTATAATTAGTCAAAGAAATGTTCTTTTGAATGATCGATTACGTTTAAAATTCGTTGACTGACTAACAAGCTAACAACAAAGCGTACCAGCCTCGTGTGTGACTGTGAGTTGTTACACGAACGTCTATACACAGATGACCTTCACCTGTACACACTCGCACTAATTGCGGACGATTACGCGTTTCCTATTGTATAATCATTAATGGAAAAGCCGAGCACCATCGATGCGCCGCGCGCACGGATGACAGCAATGCGCTGATGCTGTTTTCCGCGGGCCCAGCAGCATCCCAGTAATTCATACGTCTCGCTGTCACAATTCACTCCCGTGTCCGCGAAATTGTACTCGCGACACGTCGTTTCGCAATTAATCAACAGGTTTCTGTGTGAACAATCGTTTACCTTGGAAACGGCCGCGCAACATCAGGGCAAAATGCGTTTCTTCGTTTCTCGTTCGCGAATAAACGTTTGCGCACGTTCGGAGACGATAAATATCGTCGTAGACGATAAAGCCGCGGGCGAGCACTGACAGCGATTTGGTCAGCGGAAGTGACACTGACTATCCGAATGGCACCAGTCGCGGCCGTGCGCGTGTCCACTATACGTCAAACTCCTCGCCACGAGGAGGAATTGTCAATCAGCAGCGCGCCTACACGCAGCTGCGGTCGGTGCATCTCGCCGGTGGATGCCTCCCGGCTAATCACCGGCGAGCATCATCACGCCTACGTCCGCGACCGGCAACCTGTCATGCGGCGTAAGACCCGATAATAAACACGATAATAAGTATATATGCAAGTCGGATCTTGTGCGTGCGATCTCTTGAGCGTCTCTTTATTCGCTTTTCTTTTAAGGTTTCCTCGGAGCAATCCAGAAACGGTCTTTACGTCTGAGTGAAATGTCGATGAATATCAGTAATTTGCAAATTATTACAAATTGAGATGATTAATTTGTAATTATAAAAGATCGAGATATGAACGATGGAATCGTGACAGATGTTTCGTGCTCTATATTTAAATCTCTGAGTTGACTACATGTAATTTAATTGATTTATAAGTATGTAATTTAATTGATTGATAAGTATATATGAACATGAATCTATGAAATTTTTGTAAAATGTTAATATCCCAAAACATTTTATAAATTTCGAGGATATATTTTAAATTGAATTATTTTGCGAGTAATTACAAAATGTAAAAGGATAGGAGAAAAATGAAGAATAAAAAAAGTGTAAATTAAAAACAGGAAAGTTTGAGTTAGAATTCTGGCTTTTCTGCAAAAAAAATTTTGACATAAAAATTAAAAACATAAATCATAATTTGTTGCCTATATCTTCGTTATATGAAAAAATCGAAGTAAAAATGTTTATTGTTTAAATTCAAATTGCTTTAAGTTGTAATACTTTTGACAGAAAAATTTTTGAGAAGAAATATTAAAATCCGTGAACGTTTGAAAAAATTCCATCCAAGAACTGTAGAATCGAGAACTTCACTTTTGCTCTTACCGCTTAGAATCCACGGAACTCAATTCATCTTTTGTTATTCTTTTCAGAACGATTAGTTACGTTCAAACAGAAAAAGTAGATCTGCAACAATTTTCTGCTTGTCATTGACCTATAAAGCACATGCCATAAAGAAATTAATTATGTATATAATAATATACAGAACAGGCATGCTTAAATTTATTTTTCATCGGTGATTAATCGAGATTTTTTTATATGTATACTTATGCACACATATATTCCACGTGGCTATCTGATAAACTTAAACCGTCGACACACGTCGACTAAGCAGATTTTCTCATTTTTTCTAACATACCTAAAGTAAGCGTAACGTATCGTATGCGGATCATAAATCAGGTACAATAAAATGTAAAAAAAAGCATTCGAGTAAAAACTTCAAACTGACGTTACACCGCGCTAATGGCTCGTTTACACAGGAAGCGACGACTTGTGCGACTACGTGGGACACGTAGCGCAACATTGGCTGTCGCGTCGTTCTTTATTGACAAGTATTCCGTTCTATGTACGAACATATCAATGCAGCGTTCACTCCGGTTTATTTCCGAACGTGCAGCTTGGTTAGAATTGTACTGTATTGCGTGTATATTCATTAAAGAAAAAAGTTGCAAAATATAAGTACGGCTGTACGAAACTACGAAGGTTAAGTTGCAAAGAATTGCAAGTGGAGTAAATATATCTCAAAATGTATCTCATGTATTATTTGGACGACAAGGGAAATCGAGTGTACACTTTACAGGTGATTTCTCGTAACGTGCTACAATATATAACAGAATTGATGCACAATTGCAATAACATTAATTATATTGGCAACGTAATAAAATATATATTACTACATATCTCTGTAATCTTATTTCTTAAATGCAAATTCTGCATTTAAAAAGAAAGATTACATTATCGTAATTTAAGTAATGTGATTACATTATCATAACTCGTAAAAAATATGATTTTCTCTATACCAATTTTCTTTCCTTCATAATAAGATCTTTTAGCTGATTTTCTTTATATTTTCTCGCCTCCTTTTTTTCAACAATGGTTGAATTTTTACAGAAAATGGATCCTAATGGAAAGCCTACCTTATCCGCACATCCAGGTAATTTATTAATATATTTTTTATGGCACAGACACTTCACATAGGACAATAATGACAGGATTGATATTAAATGTCTTTGCAGCTCGATTTTCTGTCGAGGACAAATATTCAAGAGAAAGGATCACGATGAAGAGAAGATTTAGCTTACTATTGATACAGCAACCACAACCTAGCTATTAATCTAAAATGAAAGTTAACAAATTTTATATAGAGATGTAAAGTGTAAATGAGAAGGACTACACGATGTTATGACTTGGCTTCATACAACCGAGTATGATAGAACCTGTATTTCTATCGACAGAGAGATGATTCAACTTATACACCCACAACTTCCTTTAGTGATAATGAGGAAAAATATGACTCAAGATTATCATTTTAGAATATGGGATTATATTCGATATTCCTGCAACATCTGCAACCTGATAACAAACTTAAGAAATTATTCCCACTGAAAATTTATCTATATTTTACATTTCACTTAATTATTTTGTATGTCTTGTATTCTGTTGATAGTAAATAAAACATTTCTTGCGTTCATTGTCGATACGTATATTTACTATACAAATTTCATTTACACAGTTTATTATCTCCGCACATTATAAAAAAATAAAAATTATTGTACACAGTATTTTCTGACTTGCAATACAGTTGCAATAAGTTTTATTTAAAAAATCGTAACAAGATTATTTACTTGCAATCTTAGTTTAATGTGAATAGCATACTTGACGAAGTCTACTAAATTAATACGTACAGAGCGTTCACTATTGTATATGACATAAAATACAAAGCCGATATTGAGTTCCAGTCAACAACTATCTTACAATCCTATTCTTAATCATTAACATATCGATATATGATTTTATTTCATTTATTGATATTAAAAAATAACAAAACTATGTACAGTATCCTTTATCACAATTAGAATTACACATCAAATGCAAGCATTTACATAATTATCAACATTATTTAGAATAATGTGTAATTACGTAACTTTTAAAATAATTATACATAGTTGATATAACATGTGCAATACATTCTAAATCAGAAATATAAATTAAATATGATTTTATCCTGTGTGAGAATAAATTTTACGCGAGAAATTGACTTTTTTCGTTTTTATAAATTTTGAAGCTACATATCACAGTTTGTGAGTATGATTGTAAAGGGCCAATATCATATTACCATATTCGTATGAAATAAATACAAATATAACTTATTCTAATCGAAAAGAGACTAAGATACATTATTACATATTTGTTTATGTAGATACAGTATATGTAAGATTTGGTTTATATTTATTTTTGAAGCTACAACCACATACGTTCGAGTATTAAATCAGGACATTGTAATAACTGTTTAAATAAAATTTTTTTTGCACAGGAAAAGTAATACGTAAATCTAAATTACAGCTTTAGAAACGTTGCACTAATTAAATAACTGAATCTCTTTTAATAAAAATGTTAGAAATATAAGAGAAATGTGTAATTAAATATATATTTAACTTATTGTTAAACTACTGGAATCTTTTGCGATATTATAAAAACATAAGAATAGCTCTACAAATAATAATAACATTCTAATTATTAGAATATATAACATACAATAAAATATTTGATTAAAGTATATTTTATTTTATATATATATAAAACTATGCATTTCTCCAACTTGTATATATAAATATTTGGTATAACATATTATCACCAAAATTATTGTATTATTACATAAAAAATCTATTTGAATATACGTATCTTGTTAGACTTAAGATTAACAATAAAAACAGAATATGCCAAATATAATAAATAGAATAAATGTAATTACGTTATTTAGAAGTTCTTTCTATAAGAAAATTGAATAAACATAGTTTTGTATAAATCATATATAATCAGTTTTTAAATATTTGCAACTTAATAAATATGAATAATTAAGAATATTTTATGATTATCTTACATTTGCAAATTAAAAAATTATAAATAGAAAATCATAATATTCTAGAAAACATGGCAACACAAGAAAACTTTGATAATATCCAATTCTGATGAATAAACACTAAGAAATGTGTATATTGATTTTTTTCTATAGATGTATTTTTTAATTAAAATATAAATATTAAACACAATATATAGATTTTTACATAGCATTATATAAATGCCTAGTTTACGTATGTCCATAAGGATTACTATATGTTACAATTTAGCATAATAGAAATATGTAACATTTATTCACAAGCTCTTATGAGTATATCGCTAACAAATATTTGTACAAATTTTACATATATTTGCATTTTATATTAAAAAAATTCTTATATTACCATCTCTCTTAAGATATTAAGATGGTATAGAATATTAAAATATTTTAAATGAAAAAAGAGACAACAGAGCAAGATTCATAAATTTAAATGAATGTGAAATACAAAAGAAATAAAAAATGAAAAAATATATAAGTACATAATTTAGGACACATAGGAGTAGCAAACTTCCTCTCAACATTTAACTGAATCGTTAAGAACTATTGAAAAATAGAATATTTTTTAATATTTTTTCGATATAACGTAGGTATTGTTGCAATAACGTGATTATTTTCCGGTGTAATGTAATTCAACTGAAAAATGTAATAATTATGTATATTAAACAATGTTTCAGTACAAAATATATACTTAGCTAGAAACTTTAGAAATCATAATTTTCAAATAAAGACATTTTATGGCATCATTAACATAATTATTAATCCAAAGGTTCAAGTTTTTTAAAAAGCTGAATGGCTTTGGTAATAAAGAATTGAAGTAAACACTTAAAATAAATAAATATTATACTATTGTATCCAACGCCGATATTTACCTGTTTCAAAATATTAATTTATATGATAATATAATTCTTATCTACTGTATGAATATAAAATAAAGTATTTACATAATTATATATTCATTTTGATATAAAAAAAACAACTTGCGATTACTCTCTAAATAAAGATGTTCATGACTTGTTACACGCAGAATCAAAGAACATGTACATCTTTGACAACAAAATTTATACATCTTTAATTCGATTCTGATGGAGCTGCTGGCAGAACATGCACTTGTTGTGCTTTACTGGCATTATATACTTGTCCCGGACTAAATGGCTCTAATCGAGGACCAGATCCTAAATCATTTTTATTACGGACGACATCTTAAAATGGAAACAAATAAAACAATTACAGAAATTCATACAACTTAGAAACAAACGTAATATATCTTTGTCTTTCAAATTATCGTAAATATTTTCAATAAAAATTTGATAAATTTGTTTACAAATCAAATAACACGTCACACATATAAAATACTTAAACTTACCATTTTTCGATTCTGTTGCAGGTATATATCGAGATAATCTAACAACAGGGAGAGGCAAATAACCACTTGTCAGAGGCATCACGTCTAATGTAACGCTTTGTTTCTCTACAATTTCTAACGATACAATGCCTGCTGTCCGACCACACACCGCCCACATAGTTTGGTCCGCCAGAACCTCGTACATTAACTGCGGTGGAGGATTTGGGCTAAGACTAGGCATGCGCATCACTGTAAGACACAAGTGGCACATACTACCAGCACGACAAAATTCTCCTCCACCACCACTTGTTTCAACTTTCGAGGATACTGTGAATAAAGTCTGGAAAGCATCGTTACAAACAAGTTAACGTTATATACTACATATAAGAATGCACAGTTTTTTACAAGTCAACATGTATTACTACATCATTACAAGTTACCATTAATCCGTGACTTTTCATTTAAAATAAATAATATTTAAATATGTAATATATAATTATATATATATTAAACGTATCAATTAATGAGTTCTTACCACATAATCTGTAATATCAAAGTTGCATCTGTAAACACTACATGCTTTCTCAATTCTCTCTAGATTGTGTATATGTAGTGGATCATCGTCAACGTGTGTATCGTTTAATTCTTCAGTATCATTAACTGATATATATTTTACACGAAAGTCAGTCTTTATTGGTATCGTGGATTTTTCATCTTTCCCGATCTCGAGTTCCCACATAAAGGAAACATTCATTCCATTACCTATCACTAATTTCTGACCCGCGACAGGATTTAAACTTTTAAAGTTAACGTCTATTGACGAAATTGTCATTAATTCAGGCTCAGTTAATTGTAGAAGTTGACTTGTCAGACCAGTTACGACTATTTGAATGAATTTTCTATGTTTTGCTGTATGGAGTTTCATACTTGACATCAGCGGTGGACCAAAATGCAAAGGTATGCTTTCTTCCGAACCCCATGGACATTGTATATTCAACTTAAAAAAATAATTATTATTAGTTATATTTATTGCACAAAAGAGAATAATATAAATTACACGTATTAAATACCTTATGTTCCATAGATGACGAATCTTTCTTTGGTGGTAGTTCAGCTAAAATCTTTAACTGCATTCTTATGGTTTGAAATGGTTCGCACGTTGGCAGTGGTATCTCTAACTCCTTCACCATTACTTTTTCGACACTTTGCGATTGCACTGTCAATCCGCGTGATGTGCGTAATTTTAATTTCATTTCTTCGGTTATCTTTGTACTTCCGCTCGATATAACTAATTCAATATCTTGAATGAGACCCGCCAGTAAATCTCTGCCGCAATTTATGGATATCGTTGGCTGCGTCTTTGCTACTTCGTAGCATAACCGTGGATTCAGTATGGGTGATAAAAACTCCAATTTTTCCTCTATCACCAACGATAACTGGCTAACTTTGTACAAACCCGGCTGATTCACTCGCCTTGTTAAGACAAACGTATTCATACCGGGCTTCATAACGAATTCATCACAGGAGAGCGCTTTGCTGAAATCGCCTTTTGTATTAACTGAAGGTTTTCTATGTTTTGAACTATCTGAACGTCTCACGAGCGGCTTCATATTTTTATTAATAACGCTAGCAGAACCGAGACTCCTGTCTTCCTTGTAATCCAAATAAGAATAAACTTGCAAACGTAATAAACTGAGATCAAGTAGTTTCATATCTTCTAATGTGCACTTTGACAACCTGAAATAGAGCAAAATGAAAATTCAACATATAGAAAAAATATAAAACACAACGAGCACTATTCTAAATATAAGTTACTTTTTTTACAATTTTTTTTACTGTAGTATTAAGAATTATATACACGCATAGATTTTTATAAATAAAAATATTTCTAATTTTATTCATTAATAACTTACAATTGTACTGGAGGCTCAACTGATGATTTTAATCCTTTTTTCTTATTAGGTATAGATGGCTTTTGTATCTCCTCTACGGAGATTGCGGCGCTGGTGCATCTTACTTCCCGAGGAAACAAACTCTGTACGCTGATTTCGACGTTAACTACACAGTCTTGTACTATCTTATCCATCACTTTAGCTTCCATACTGAGTATTATAAAAGCACATCCGAGTTCCGCGAGTAATGGTTGAGGTGACGAGATCATTTTCATATATCCTAACATTTCTTCCAAATATGTATTGCGTACGGTTATATGCAAAAGACTCGCGCTAGCTACTGCCGCGCACACTTTAGTATATTTCTCGACGTCGTCCATCCGTTTGTAACACTCGGCTAGCTCCAACTGCGTTTGCACGGCCAAGCGACTCCAGCCCTCGTCCATGTAAGTTTTCAATGCGTCAGATAAAAACGCGACCGCTTTCTGATTCTCCCCGAGTTCGCTGTAGAATCGTGCCAACTCTTTGCCGATTAATCTCGCCGATCGTATGCGGCCGACGTGTTTGTACGTGCCCATGGCTAATTCCGCATGCTCCAGGTACTGTTTCTTGAACGCTTCTTTGGATGAAAGTGCCTCTTTTAACTTGTCTGTAGGAGTCAACTTTCCTTCTACCTGCGGCTCCGAATCTCCTATACCTGCTATAAGATACACAACTGTGTGCAACTGTTCGCTAGTCGGTTCACTTCCTGGCATTAGGCCGCACAATTTTCCTAAGTTTCCTAACTGAAAAGGAAAAGATACATAATACGATATAAAATAAATATATATAAGGGAAACAATCCAAGGATTATTATTAATTACAGTAGTAAATATAAAATAATAATATCAAACGTAATAGATCAGTTTATTTACCTTGTCTCTTGCAAGTGCCCATAAACTAGCTGTATGTAAAGAACACAAGTCTAACTGTTGATTGTTATCGATATTGTTGGTGGACAGTTGACATGCTTGCAAGACCTCTAACGCACAGAGGAATGACCAGCATTCTACGGAGCCTTCCGGTTTCTGTACTTCTAAGATTCTTAACTCGCTCAATGTATTATGGACAAACGATAAGCACCTCTGTGCTACCTGTCAAGTATAATATTCAGTGTCAATTTTGAAATATTAATTATGAAGCTATTACCAATAATTTCTCAAATTCGTACAAACCTCCCAAGGTTTATTAAGCAGGAGTAGCATGGCACATTGTCTACTAAACAAGTAACTTCTAAGATCTAATAAAGATGCCCTACATTCAGCTAAAAGAAACCTCAAGTGATGGTTTGTACCGTTGTTTAAATTCACACCTCCCCAGTTGTTCAGAGGCGTTTGAAACAAACTTAACCATCCTGGAGTATCTATGAAAAATTTATCTGCATTTAGGTTTTCACTTTGCATCTCAACATCTGTTCTCATTGCATAACGTACATCTTTGATACAAATAAAATTTTTAAGGATTACAATACCTCCTACATTAGAGTTGAGCACAAATTGTGTAAAGAGAGCGTCTAGTTCGTCATACTGCACCAATGCCTCATCGTACAAGCCTAGCATTTGCAGTGCGAATGCCAATTCTTCCTAAAATACCAATTCAATTAGTTAATAAGAAGAAGAATTAGTTAATAAGAAAGATACAAGTTTTAAATTTTTCAAAATATTAAGGAATTAATTTAATATTCGGAAGACAACGCGCGTCGCTCTATATGAAAATCGTAATCGCCGTATCCCGATTACGAGGGTTTAATCTCAACCTTTATCCCATGTAGCTAGTTTTAGTCGGAAAAATTGGAGACTTGAGAACGTTACGAGATGTTATAAATGAAAGAAGTTAAAATATATGACTCGTTTCAGAAGCCTGTACTTTGACTTTATACTTTATACTTGATTTTGACTTTATACTTTATTAGGCAATTCAGAGATAAGACTTTTAGAGATAAGAATTTGTAGCAAGCGTTATATCACCTGCAGAAGAAAATAATGGCAGAAATTCCAATTAGGATTGTTACGCCTTTCTCTCTGCTCACGTATAATATCTTCAAAGCGCGACAGGGTTCTGTCGTATGCAGTCAACATCAAATGACGAATGCGAGTTATCAGGCCCCTCCATGATTCCGCGGAACGAGATTCAGATTTAATTGGATTAATTATACCAAAGCATCTGTCAATCAAAGATACAATTTATGGATTAACAATATCGATTTGTGCATTGTGTGTTGTAAGAATAAATGTAAAAGATCACAGCGTAATTAATTACCTATCGCCATTCTTGGCGGCGAAGTCACTTCGTATTTTATCTAAGACGGTAGTCCTGGGTAACAGCTTATTGGCCTTCTTTATATCGTACGTTTCTACCAATACAATCATCCAATCTTGAATGTGATATAAATTCAATACTTTTAACCAAGCTTCAATATCATCTCTGACACTAGTCTTATAAGTATCAACATCCTAGAAGAAAAAAAATTAACGTGAAAATTTATTTGCTGAATTATTAGAAACGTGAACACATCCAGACAATGTCAAATATAAAGATACTTTCTAATCTCATAACATTATTGCTAGCTTTATCTAACATAATGTCCAATGTAGAAAAAAAGAAATAACATTCTATATACAAATATGTCATATATGATAAGAAAGTGAAATTAATGGCATAATGGAAGACTTACAGAACATTCCGTCCAATAAATATGAAAGATTGGTTGTTTTATGAGATGCCAATCTTTGTCAGTGGGCAAAATGTCTCTGGAAAATGGCACGAAGGTAGCCCCAAGTTTGACCTGTTTAATTGGCCTGCTGAACGACCTGCGCCATTCCGCCGTATCCGCAGGTATAGCTTGGAGTAGATTCTTTTCCAATGTAGAAAACAAATTTTCATCCCCAGCACCTGTATCAATCGTGCGAATCACTTATTGTTGCCATCTTACGTCACGCCGTTCGAGAAACGAGGTAGCGCATTTGCATAGGTCAGACTCATCATTCTTAATGCATTTGATTACTCATTTATATTATAACAAAAAAACTGTTGCAAAGTCCACCTTGTACTTTTGCCACATGAGTTTAGATTGAATTCTTACGTCGATAACAAGATAGAAGGGAATCTGGCAAAATTATTTAAATCACACCAAAACAATTCGCGTAACGTGCTTTCCTGACAACAACGCATTAAGTTGACATATGTTCCTCGGGAGAAGCCTCCGCGAAGTCGGGCGCTCGGAGGTACGCATTATTTGACGCTACAAATTTCACCCGGACATTTCGTCCCGGCCGGGCCGAGCCCCGAGGAGAAACGGGGAAACGTCGCGAGAATTGACAGATGGACGACGGAGGGGGCGTCGAATAAAACGGTGCCCGAACGACGGGCCGTGTAAGCGAATACATAGGCGGAGGGCGGGGGAGGGTGGCGGTACTCACAGGTGACGATCGGTCTGCCGTCCACGGGAGCGCCCGCCTTGCGTGCCTCGCCAGCCACGGACGATCCCCCATTGCAGTTCATCGTTTCTGAGGACTGGCGGTGCGCCTCGCGAGCTCGCTGCTCCCGATCGGGCCCACGTTCATAACTCCTCGTCCCTCTCTCGCCGGCGCGCATATAGGAACTCCGACCGAGCGCGACCGGGTCTCCGCTCGCCGATCCGGGTCCTCCGCCGAATCGCGCCGCGAGCGCGAGAGACACACCACCACCGGGGCGACTCTTCTTGACTCGGCGCGAGCTCAGTGGCAGCAGTTCGAGAGAGACGAGCCGAGCATCGTTTCACCACGCACTCTCGAGCCCCATTGAGGTTGGGATCCTTACGTCCGTTCCCTATGCAGGCCGTGCTGACTTACGCCAGCTGCACTCCACCCGCGCACTCGAGGCGCGAGAGACGTATACGTCAGAGAAGGAAAGAGCGCGGACGAGGGAGTGCAGGTGTACATGCAAGCGCGAAGAACAGACGTCCCATTTGGCGATGCGATGTGCCGTTTGTATCGATTCACGGAAAAGCTCGATATATCGTGTCGTCGCGATGCTCCGCTTTTCAGCACCTCCGATTGGCTGTGCGTTTACTGAAGAATTAATGGCACACTTCGTCTCTGCAACTGCACCTCTTTCTTCTCCTCTTCTCACCGCTCTTCGACCTGGCTGTGTATCCGTCTCGTTTTGAGTGCAGAAAGTGAGCGACGCGATGACAATACCGCGGGGAGGAGATCTCGCATTCTCGGCATTCTCGCCACGCTCGTTCCGCAACAACAGTTCGCAACGCAATATCAACAGTATTGTGTTCGAGCCTTTGAAAGCCGATCGTTCCGAGAACTGTGCCTCTTCGCAATGGCATGCCGTTTAAACTAAACGTGAAAGTTTGATACATGATCTCTCGTCTTCACAATACGATATTACTCTTCGTTACGAAGACATTTTTCGAACGTCGATTTTTAGCCACGTTGCGCTGCGAATTTGTACTCCAGTTTCTCCAATTCTTTGTTCTAATTCTTTTTCTTCAACTTTTTCGCTAATTTTGCATAAGATTTTGGATATGCACATATGATTGTTGAGAAAAAGAGAGACATGATTATCGTTATATGACATTTTTTACATAACCTCTCGCTATGCCCGTTTTATCCAGAACGATTTAAAGATTATTTAAAAAATTTTAAATATAACAAAAACATGTCCCTACATGAAAAGATACCTGGCGATATATTGCCTTCGAAGAAGGAAAGTCAAGGCTATATCGATGATTTAGGGAAGAAAGAAAGGTTTCAGTTGGAAGAGCTTTTAGAGAGACAGGAAACAATTCTTGCTAATAAGTAGGTAGGACGTAAACTATCGCCAATTTCAATTTGTTTTGAACAATCCTGAGCCATCCCGGTTTTTCAGGAATTTGATCTCAAGGCTTCCCGACAGAGGAGAAAAAATTATAAACTTTCACGATAAAATACTGCAGGAACTCAAACGTAGAGATGAGGTGGAAGAGATGGCAAGTGTGCTGTCGCGGCTTAACATAGCATCCGAAGGCAAAGCGGCTATGAGCAAATTGGAATGGACAGGAAAATATAATGAAAAAGATGATAAAGATGTGACCAAAATCGTTGAGCTGGACAGTGACGACGAGGAAGATCCATTGAAGATACTAGCTCAGGTTGATAGATTTTGCATGATTATAGTAATAACTAATAACTTTTGCCAATTGATATTATATATATACATATATATATATATATATATATATATATATATATATATGAATTAGACAAAAAATATATATGTATTATGTTTTAAAACAGCCTACAGGAACTGGTGTTCACAACAAGAAAATTATACATGTGGCACCTGAGGAGAGCCTCATCAAACCTGAAGACATAGCAGAGATTGAAACCTTCAAGACGGATCCTTCAGACATAGAGCACGTTAAATATATCGTTGATAAAGTAGAGAAGACGCAGAAAACTAATAAAAAAGAATCATTTAAACCATATAAAACGACCAAGAGCAATGTACACGATCCAATGAAGGAGAAACAAAGAAAATTGCATAAAAATTGGGAGGTCACAGCAGCAACACCACCTCTTATAGTTCACGGAGCTGCACAGGTTCTGAGTTTGAACGAATCTTTAAGATTGCAGAAGAATCAAACAGAAAAGTTACAGGTATTTGACGTTTTCATATCTTTTCATTTTTTTTTCTGTCAGGAAAAGCATATGTTCTGTTAAACTACTAGAGATAAATTTTTAATTAATTTGAATTATTTTAATAATAGGAAATCCAAGCAAAACATGCAGTGGAACGTTTAGTTAATCAATTAGGATTACATGATATCGGTCCTGTACCGCGAAACGTAGGCAATTACCGTTCGCAGTATACAAACGGTGACTATTCCTCTTCTTCGGATGATGAAGAACACGAAGTGCACGATGAAGAAGACAACGACAGAAGCGGAACAGTTGTTTTTACCGTGGATTCTATAGAAAGCTAACAAAGACTGTTACATTTAATGCACATGTGCGAGAAATCAATTCTAAATATATTAATTTATTTTTGCTTTAATAAAATCGTTTTCCTACGATTCTTGATATACTTCACTTTTACTTAATCCATGTTGCCAAGTTTGCGGATGAAAGAGTACTCTGAATTAAGGTGTTTAAGAGCTTTTATTTTTTTCAACACGTAAGTTAATTGTATCCAAAATTATTGATGATCGCTGTGTATGGTGCCGTTGCTTTGGCAACTTTCTCACCGGCTTGCTTGGTAAGTTTCTGTAAAAAAAAAAATCAAACTTCAAAAATATTTCCATATATTAAAAAACCACCTTGGAAAAATGGATGTAAAATACGATCATTAATATGCTCATATTTCATGTCTTCGATATTGATTACCTTAAGTTTATTCCTCTTTTGAACTTCGAGGATGGCTCTGACACGCCTCTTGTTCTCCAACGTGCGAACTACAGCCTTGTACTTCCATCCGACTTCGTGAGACAATCTACCCACGTGACAGTACTAAAAATCGAAGATGTTATGTTAGTATCTGTATTGCCTCGATACTGCGAGAAGACAATTTTACATAAAATTTCGTAACTCAGTTTAAAATTCCATCATAAAAGTCAAGCAGACTAACGTCAGACGCAAATTACCATACCATCATTGTTCTATCAATAAATAAATAGGAATAAAATCCAAATGTAAGAGGCAGTTCAGGCGAATTTAAATATACACATAACACATCTTACCTTTCTGCCTGGTTTAAGACACATCACTCTCATAGCACCAGGTACAACAACACGCTTCCTGCGGTCGTACGGTGGTGGACAACCTTCGTAAACCTTCAGTCGCCTGAGAGCGTCCTTCCCCCTTTGTGTCTTATGTGGGATCATGCCTGTAAACGAGTCTCTTTAATATCTCCTCTTGCAATCGCTGCATCGTAAAATAGCATATGCAATCTTGGCATCATAAAAAGGGTTTTTTTTTCATTACATTGTCAAATAATGTAGGTAAGTATGTGTGTTAATCATGTGCAATATCCTTATTCTATGTAAACGCCAATATAATCTCAACTATACATACCACGAACCGTTTTCCAGAATATCTTGCTCGGCGCTCGGAAATGGAACGGACCACGAGCAGGATTTACATTACATCTCTTCCGCAGAAAAGACATAAACTTCAACTTGTTCCTGGAAATCGAAAAATGTATGTTAGTTTATATATTGCCTCAATATTACAAGATTGATAAAATTTCATAATTCAGTTTAAAGTTTCCATCATAAAAGTCGAGTAGACTAACTTCAGACGCAAATTACCAAACCATCATTATTCTCTACTAGCCAATATCAAGTATTAATTATGCCATCTTTCATGCAATACTTTTTATATGAAATAAAAATACAAGAGAGGAGCAGAAGTATCAACAGATGTTATTATCTATTTTTATCATACAGTAAATATTATATTAAATAAATTTTATAAGTTTTTTATTACTTTAATTATTATTGTTGATTTTGTTTTAATCGAGCACTTAAAATAAGACAACTAAACGATGAGGACTTCACACGAACCTGAAGAAGTTACCGCTAATGTTCAGTTGCTCGCTGCGTACGACGATAACCTTGTTGCCTTGCAAGATAGTCTTGGCAACGATAGCAGCCAGTCGCCCAAGTAAATGGCCGCGGCCATCTATTAATATTGGCTGAAATAGCAACAACCTCCATTAAAGGAATTGAAAACTATTGTACCATATAAACGCTTAACCCTTCTACAATGCTACATAGGAGCATTATATGGGTGCGCGAAATTCACAAGACTCGCGATATATGGAGTGCATTTTCGAAACGCGAAAATATCACATTAAGGAAATCAAAGCGCAAATGATTTGGAATTTGTGCCGTTCGATATACACGGCGCGTTCTGATTTCCGCATGAAAAATACGGCCCGCGGATGCTGCCATAGACACGTGTCTGACGTTCGATAGCGAAGCCGTGGCACTTTTTTCGGTAAAGGCAAATTTTCGAGAAGCATTAAAGAACTCGCGTGTTACTCCGCATGTTAAGTAATCACGATCGCGTGTATGCACCGCGCAAGAGTTACTTCAACTGACCGAAATAACGAATTTTTTGGTACGAACCTTCTCAGTGAAGCCCGTCATCGTGCTACCTTACCGGAAAGGAGTCACAGGAGCAAAGGAACATACGCGTTTCTTCCGGAAGGCAACTATGGCGCGCGCAGGGGGACCAACGTTAAAATATGATTCTGCTGCGAGTGCTGCCGCGCTGCGTGACATTCCATAAAAAGATTTTACCATAGGAGAAGATGAAATTCTGCTGCATTCAAAAAGTGACTTGCTTGTCAAAAAAGAATAATGTGATTAGTGCGTATATACTTACATACATGCTGAAATATCATCATTGTGCACAGATTTATTTTATACATTGCGAGAATAAGGTTTAAAAATTTTTAATCAATACTCGATCTCGAATATTCTTCATCTCCTTTTGATGTATATTAATTAATTCGTATAAAAATAATAATTTTAAGATCTCGAAAGATGTCTATTCCTTCTTCAAATAGCCAAATCTGTCGGAAACAAAATTTGTAAAATGTTTTATTTATTTACAAATTTTATTACAAATTTTATCAGCAGAATTAAATAACGGAATATGTTGGCAAATTGATTGCAGAAACTGAGTAAAATCTTCCGTTGATCTTAAATAATATATTTAACTTAAATGATTATTTTTTTCTACTTGGTTCCTACAATTATATTCTGATAATTCTAGCTGTCAGATTACATCTGCAAATTTTACTGACAAATATCACGAGTTTAATGTGTATAATATTTATATTCAACGGTATATATAATATAGTTGCCAATAATAATCTGCCCGCAACGTATTCTGATAGCCAAAATAGCTAAAATGTACGTTATCATTTTACTTACTATATGGATAAATCCTTGGAATATATTTTCTGATGACAAATTTTTTTAGAACTTATTTATTTCTTAAAATTTCTAAGAATTTTTAAATAATTTTTATAATTTTTAAAAAATTTTTTCTGATGTTATACAAATTAGAATACTTTTCAGAAATACTTTGAAAGTCTATATCTTTTCTAGAATTCTCTCTCTATATATATATATACACATTTTTTTACTGTACATAATTTTTTAATAATTCTTTATTATGTCGCGAACAATGAATATTTTGATAATATAATAAATGCGTTTCGTTTTTCTATCAACAATTATTGTATGTACATACATATTAAAATAATTATAAATTGCAAAATTAAAACTGTAATAGATAAATCATATATTTTAAATTGGATATAACCGATAAAATAATTATTGATTTCTATTGTGGGGAAATAGAACGGAATAAATACATGTTATATATGTGTAAGCAGTGCATTTTATTTGACAAGAAAATCAGAATTACAAAAGATTGTTTTTAGCTTTTAATCTTATAAATTTAGAATTTAGAAGACTGTTAACTTCAACAGAAATATACTGTTATGAATTTTTCTAAGTGACATAAATTCGATGCCTGCGAATTAACTAACTTTGATATTTGTACTTTTTCTTACACATTTATAATAAAAAGTCAAATTAGGCACTTAGAAAAATATTAGATATGTTGATCGTGTAATATATTGCAAAAAGGTATACAAAGTTGAATATCACATCAAAATTAAAATATCAATCTTTTCATCAGCCAAAGGAATATTGCAAATCACATATACATAAGGCAAAATAAATGTATACTACTTGATATTTCACGTTTATCTTGCAAATTAATTTAGATTACTTGTTATTTATATTTTATTCGTGTAGATTTGAAGTTGAAGTATATAACCGCAATAATAATTTACTTGTTATACTGCAGACACAATCTTATTTTTCATATATTTTCAAGAACAGCATTGCATAGTGTTCTTCTTATTTTTTGAAGACTAATCAATAGAAGACTGTATTAATGAAAGAATGGAAATAGTATATCTCCCTTCGGCAAATAAAGAAAATAAAGAAAAGTATCGAGCCTAAGTGTTTCTTCTAGTAAGGATTATTATATAAGAAATAATTGTCAATAAAAAATTGTCTTTCAATTTAATTAAATATTACTTGTTTATGATATTATTTATTACAGAAAATAATTTCCATTTTTTAGAAAATTTTTCTACCAAAGTTCTTTTTCTATCAAAATTTTTTTATGAAGTTAATACTTTTATTTGATCAATTGAGGAATACGCGATCGTGTATTGCAACTATTAATCAATTGATAAGAAAAGAAAAAAAATTGTGAGAGAACGAAAAAGCCCTTTGTTAAGAAGATTATATATGTCATTTACACCGAGAAACTTCCTTATAGCTTTTCGATTTTCAATGAATTAGAAATCTTCACTCTAGTTTTTGTGTAAGTATGTATCACTAATTTATGTCCCGGATTAAGTTATAAATCATCTGACTGAAATGAAAACATATTTTTGTCAATTTTAGGACAGTTACTAGAAAATTTTTTTAAATCCTTTTAAAAGAAACACAGTCTTGCTAACCATTATACCAGTCATCTGTTGACTTTATATCTGAACAATATTATAACGTAAATAATTAATTCGTTTCGAATTTGCAACATTTTTTTTATTTTTAGCAATCCTTTAACTTTTTTGGGGTTTTTAATATTTTGCACAAAAGATAATACTAAAAGTTTATATTTTCCATAATTCTACGCTAATTTGTTTTTTTTTAGAAATAGCAACTACAAAAATAAGTATACTATTTCCTTCTTTTTTTATTTTTATATTTATATTATAATACCGTAGGATGTTATTTTAATATCAGATGCTCATTTTTATGGCAACCAATTTATAGTTTCAAACATTTTTAATTGAGATTATATGTTAATAATTTTTTTTGCTACATTTCTTAATGTGAAAAACGAATTTTTATTATTCTTTTCTTTCTTTTAATTTCTCTTTTTCTTGTTTTTTTTAAATATTTGCATAATACCATAAAATAATGTAAATGATAAATGATGTTAACGATCATATAACTGCGATAGTCACATTTAAGACATTTTATATTTTATATCTATAGTAAATTGATAGTAAATGAAAAATTTGTGAGATAATAAATAATATACATTGGAAAAATGTTAAATAATTTTGATACAACCAGCATTACTTAATATATAATAATTTTGAATAATAATAATTACTATGCTGTGACCGTGTAACTATAATTAATTATTTAATAGTGAAACATTACCTAATTAAAGATAATAGTTACTCTGTTGTAGTCTTGTAACTATTTAATTATCAATAAAGAACTAGAATGCAAAAAAAATATTTCATTTTAATATTTATGATCGAATGCATTGATATCAATCCTCTCCAAAGTTTAATATATCGCGATAGAGTACATACAAAAGTTTCTGATTTATATTAAAACTACAATCAGTTAAACTTGTTTAGATCTCTCTCTAAATTTTTAATGTTTTTTTTTTTGCATTGGAGAGGAATGATATTAGTGCATTCCATCATTTATATCTAAATGAAATATTTTTTTGCATTCTATCTCTTATAGATAATTAAATAGCTACAAAATTACATCAGAGTAACTATTATCTTTAATTAGGTAATCTTTCACAATTAGATAATTAATTAGTTACACAATTACAGCATAGTAATTATTATTATTCAAAATTATTATATATTAAGTAATGCTGGTTGTAAATTATTTAATGTCATTTTTCCAATGTATATTACTTATTATGTCACAAATATTTCATTCACTATCAATTTACTATTAATATAATATATAAAATGCCTTAAATGCGACTATCGTAGTTATCGCTAATATCATTTATCGTCATTTTATTTTATTTAAAAATTATTAACATATAATCTCAATTAAAAATTATATAATCTCAATTTAAAACTATAAATTACTTGCCATAAAAATGAGCATCCGATATTAAAACATTCTGCAGAATTGCTTATTATGTTTATATATGCAGCTTACAGTTTTTCATACAATATGCTTCACAACTATCTCATCAAAGATTTAGAGAAATCTCAGCACGCCTAACTGATTGTAGCTTTAATATAATTCACTCGATTGCACACATCGCAATTTTAATGTTCGGATAAGAATGATATATCCGTATGTCCGATCTTGTATATCAGAACAAAATATTTTTTTGCATGTTAGTAAATGCAGATAGCAACATTTCCTCCAAGATGTTACAAGTACAGTTAATAATAATTACATACAACGTATTATTAACTATATATGTAACATCCTGATTGCGTATTTGTGATTTCAAAATCCTTCAAAAAAGGAAAAATAGGATCTTAAACAAAGGATATCTTTATACCTTGCAAATATTATTAGTTATTTAAAAATAAGGCTTAATATCACAAGGTACTAAACAGGATCGCACAAGACGATCTTATCTCTCTCATTCTTCGTCATTATCATCTAACATTAGCACCCAATCGGTACCGATCATCATTAGACGCATCTCGCCAAACACATCATTTAAATTATACCTTCGCTTGAGTCTTGAATACGTAAGATTTAATATGAATATGATTTTAGAGAACATGTCCGGATCAAAAACTGATCTAGCTGTATTAGTCAAGTCAAATGGCTCTATAATATTGCAATAAATGTAGATAAGTGTAATAAAAAGTATAATATTTTCGAGTCACTTTTATATAAAGAATGTTCATTTACCTTCAATACACAGATATTTCCATTGATAAGGATCATTTTTAGATGACTGTGCCATACGACAATCCTCTTTCGGTATTTTGCTTGCTGAACGTACAGATATCGCGTACTGGTCAAAGCTAATTTAATGATACAAATTAAATATCACCTGTCGAAATATCGTCCAAATATACCATTTGTATTCGAAGTTACTTACTCAAATTCCACATAATATTTGAAAAATTCAAATAGTAATTCCCCAAGGGACTGATGGTTCTCAGGTAAACGATTGGATGATGAAATGTTCAAATCCTCATGAATATCGATATTATAAATATTCGCGTCCGACTTAAATTTGTTTGCAAACATTGAATGCAAGCATGGCAGAACAGGAGGATTGGTACCACCTATAAAAGCAACACTCGTATTCTAACATGTCGAAATGGATTGGAGTATAGAAGGGAGACATCAATCAAAAGTTGTAGCATACGTACATTGTAAAAAATGTATAACCATAAGGACCAGAGAGTAACTAGACAGTGTCCTACATTTTGGATTATTGATATGATGCCATTGAGCCCAAAGTTTGACAACAAGCGCCAAAGGTTTTACTCTCCAATCAACTGTAGCAAATATTTGAAAAATACTTGTATAGTTATTAAAATATTTTTTTCTATACACACATATATGTATGTATATATATTTCTTTTAACACGGACACAAAAATTAATTTATTAAACTCACGTTTGGAATAACAATATAGTAGATGAGTGTTCTTGATGGAAACAGAATTGTTACAATTCAAATCAACTTTAAATTTTTGTGCTGCATCAAGGAATGTTATAATGGGCACTTTTGCATGTATAATATCGAGTTGTTCAACAAAATCTAAATATAAAAGAATTATTTATCATTAAAATACTGCATGTATAAATACATTACATTTTTTAAAACACGTTATGCAATATTTATTACGAATTTTACGTACCACTTTGTTTAAGATGTTTTAGCACTTCCACTAAATGTTCTATAGCTATACATCTCACGTCCAGTTCTGTGTGTTTCACTAAAAGACACGCATCGACGTCGCTATCATTTGAACCAAACCCATTCATTGTTGACCCAACCAAAAACACTCCATAATTTGGATATATAGTCTAAAAGAATTATTTTTTAATACATATAAATAAATATGATATTGGAATGTTATTTCGAGTTCTGTTTTCAAAGATATCTTAACAATATTTTATTTTGCTATTTTATAAGTCTTAATATTTGTTTTTATTTCTTTCTTTTATAGTTTACCTTAATATATGTATTAAGATGCTTCCAAAGCATCATTTTCTTTTTATATGTAGTTTCGGTTTGTTGATGTGCAATAAATTTACGCCAAACTTGTTCGGACAGATCATCCCATGATGATCCAGTGAGAAGATTTTTCGGTACAGATGTTACTTGTACTGAATGAGATCTAGCAAGAAATCTATCAGGCGCTGCAATACATCCAGGAAACCTATCGTAATTCGGTGCTTCAGAATATTTACGATTTCGCACATATCTTTGTGAAGGTGTATTTTCATTTTTGCCTAGAATGAATTTTAATTAATTTAAATTATTTTTTAATGTATGCATTTTATATATTAAATAATAAAATATCTAGTATATTAACATGTTATTTATATAAATATATTATTATTAATGTTATTTTAACATATTAATATATTAATATTAATGTTATTGTATTAATGTTTTTAGACAGAAAAAGAGAATTACCTGATAAATATCTTCTTCTATTCTGATAATTTTGTACGTGCGATCTCGAAGTAGAATTGGAAGTATCATAATTATCCTTGGGTCGTTGGGTTGGATAAAACTGATGTGCAGATGCACTTGAAATTAAGCCATTTGCTGTGTTATATGCTCTATTATCTGGCTGTTTATGATGCTTTTTGCTAAAAATTTAATTTAGTTATATATGTATACGTATATGTATTTTGTTTATTTGATGTTTCTTTTGAAATTAGAAAGATTTTTCGCTTTCTTCTTATATCTTTTTCTCATCTCGTTATTAGTTTGCCTTATTATTTTATTTGACAAATCTTTTTCGCTCTCCCTTATTTTCTCTTTTATATAATATATACTTAATATATACTTTATTAAAAATAAAAAAAAATAAAAAACAATATATCTAGAAATATCAGACAATAATAGATAATTCTAAAAGTGTATAATTACTTTAACCACTGTCCTCTTACTGAACTCGTAGAATCTCGTTCATCTGAAGATTCTATTAAACTATTGTCAATATAATGTTTGTTTGGTGTTGGTGAACGAGAACTAAACCCACTATCACTATTATAAGCCTCGTATTTTGAGAAATTTCTGTATGAACTCCGTCTGCTATTTCTGTTATTCCAGCTTGGTTTCTTTGTCGAATTAGTATTTGTAGTATTTGTTGGCTTGTAATTATAGTTTGTGAATGGTATAATTGAGTTGCTGGATGTATTTATGCGTCTTTCCCAATTTACAGAAGATGAATTATTGTTTGATTGCATGTAATCTACTCGTCGTATTGATGGAACATCGACTCCTATTAATTGTAATAAATCCAATGGAGATCCTGTCTGCAAGAACATTTTTTACATGTTCCAACAAAGAATAAAAAGATATACAATATAAGTATAATAAGATGCATTTATATAAAATACAAATTAAAAAATTTCGTTATATATAAGAAAAGTTCGAATATATTGTTTAACATATACCTGTATCGTACGATGTCTGTTGTGTCCAGAAATATTCGAACCATATTGTGGGAAATCAGACTGATGTAATGCGTTTACACCATTAATATGCAGGGTATGACTTTGTGCTGGTGGACATTGTCCATTTGTTTGGTGTGTTCCCATTATTTGTACCATCATTTGTGATGGACGAAATGAATGATACATAGTCAAAATAGGTATACAAGATATTAGATCTCTCTTTTAGATTGTTTATTTGATTCTTAATGTAGTAATATGCACTTAATGGCACTCATAAATATTTGTAGCAATATATTTATTAAGGCACGTAATATTATTATTGTTAAATGTATCTTGCAATAATTGATATTTCATCAAATAAATGTACACATATTTACATGTACACTTAGAAAAGCTTCAAGCTTCTTATTTTTCTTTATTTCTTTTTCTTTTATATATATCTTTTTTATAATGCAGTTTTGCAAGATATTATGTTGTATCTTTTAAGATTCTACTATGTAAATCTAAAATTTCACAACAGATATGTATATAATAATTCAGCTGTAATGTAAGGAGATGAGACTATATCATAACGAAATTAGGAATTCAGAAATAATGTAACACTACAATTTACTCTGTCTATCTCTTGTCATAGAATTAATAAATATGTATGCATGTGAAATGTACAGAGTTGTAAAAAAAAATTGTAATGTGAATGAATAACTGCATTTAATGAATAATTTTATGTACATGTGACACAGCACTGTGTTAAGGAAAAATTCATATGAACCAAACGAAACAGCCTGTGTATATTTCTAATCAACTATTAATTACTTATATTAATTTTACATATACAACTTTGCCTGTGCAAAATATATGCTTCTAAAGCTTAGTCTCCAAACATTTTCATCATTTTCGTCATTTGAGATTTAATGTGCCTTTATTTTATTTTATTTATCTCTCTTTTTCTTTCTCCCTCTTTCTCTCTCTCTCTCTCTCTCTTTCAGAGTTTTAGATCGTGTACATGATACAATTTACAATTGTTCTATTACAATCTCCTGAAAGAAAAATAATATTGCAAATCATTTTTGTAATATACTATTGTATATATATTGTATAAAGCTGGTTCTACATTAGTCGCATCACAGCGTCCCAAACGTTGCGATTCAATCGACTGCATCAAGCTAGCTCGATACTGATTGGATCACAACTGGATCGCAACGTTTGCGACGCTACAATGTGACTAATGTAGAATCAGCTTAAGAGAATTTATTAATTTTTAAATTATTCAAAATTATTTAAAAAAAGATAAATTATAACAAAGAATTACGCATTATGTTAGAACTACGCAATATGTTGGAACAAAATACTAAAATTAATTTTTAATTTGTTAGTACATATAATACCCACTATTTCACATTTATAATAAATTTATTAAAATAGGATACTAGTAATTTGTTACAGAATATTAGAAACAATTAAATCACATATGTAGGAATAGAACTATATTATGTTTTAGGGATGCTAAGGACAAAACCAGAGGACATATATTATCAATAAACGTTAAAGTTAGTAAGCAAAATTTATTCTAGTCATATACATATTTTTTAAATTTTCTAAGGAACATTACAACTAATATTATAGCTATATACAGCTTCTGTATATATCTTGAGTTTGCAAAAATTGAAGACTGTTGAATTAATTAATGATAATAAAAATTTAAATTAATTTTGAATAAATATACAATCTACTAAGGTTTCCTTTTCAGAATGTACATATAAATAAATGTAATAGTTAACAACCACCATTTATTCTAATCCTAATATGCATACAAATTTTCTAAATAATATTACAAATACAACTACAAATATACATAGCTTCTGAAATTTGCAAAACTTAAAAACTGCAACATTATATAATAAATATTAAAAATAACAACAATAATTTCAATCAATATGTATGTATACAATATACAAATAAAGGAAAGTGCAATGTAGCCTCGGCCTTATATTGCGCTTTTCTTTATTAAAAATATTTAAATATGTAACTTTTGATAAATGTTCGTTATAAATATTTTTTTTCTCGGTTTCTTAAAACTTACGTATTTTATGTACCTTTCTAAATATAAAAACCGAAGCTGCTTAAAAGAGAAAAAAAATTTATTCTCTTTTACAGTACAGTATTCTTTATAAATATATTTTAATTTATATAAGATTTTTTTATTTGTGCGCGCACACGTGTTTATAGGAGTCTTTCTTTTTTTATAAATCGCCCAATTTTTACATAGACTAACATTTTATGTTGCATGCGTAAAATTCAACTTATTTGTAGAAAAGTTGATTTTAGGAATCATTTGAAAAGGCTATATAAGAAACACAAAAATGCATGTAAATACATAAATATGTATAAATACATATTTGTGAGTTTTATAATTAACTAATAAATTCTTCGTGAATTTAAGCTTTTTGAGAAAATCTTATCTTTCCATAAAATGCCAATCTACAAAAACTTGATGCTTTATGAAAGGATTAACAAAGAATTAACAAACACATATGTTTATTTCTATTTTTAAAATAATCTGCTTCTCATGTCAAATAACTGCCTTTCATTAAAATGCCAAGGAAAATAGTTTAACAATTTTTTTGTTGCATTAAGATACACTTGTAAAAAAACCCACAAAAAATTTACAAGTAAAAGGAACCACTAATTGTAAGACGAGAGAGACAATTTTCTCAAGCGAATTCGGTTTCTGCGCGTCAAAATATGTGAAACGTGCGAGTTTTATAATAAGAGACCGGAGAGGGGATAATTTTCCCACAGCGAACATTTTACCTCACTAGCTTTTTCGCGTAGATTTTCAGTCTGTAATCATATAGTTGTCTGCTTTCTACGGAAATCTGTTTACAGAGAAACTGCGCGCCGATCGAAATGTCGAAAACGATGGTTACACGGACGCACGTACACAATCACACGAATACCCTCGTCTGCCCTCGTCGAGAACACGCACATTCCACAGCGTTACGTTGGAAGATACTTGCTCAAGTAGACACGTGTACACGGTACGTGCTGCCGCGCTGTGTACAGAAGCACACGGATGACACGGAATATTTTGCCCGATTTCGATGATGTAGCGTGGGAAGGGGGGTTGCGAGGGGCGGCTCGAGAAGACAGAAACCGGAGCGCGGAAGGCGGAAGAGACGTCGCGTGGAAGCACTGCTATTATGGAACAAGGAAGGGAATACCGATACCTGGCCGTAATCGCCATGTTGCCCTATAATTTGCCCTCAGACGGACTCAGGGAAACTTGCGGAAAAACTACCTTCCAATTCCGGGCCGTGTCTGCGATTGTGCAGCGCGTTCGAAACGCGCGATCGGAGGATTCGACGCAATCAGAGGATAGTTTATCGTGATTGCTGTCGCTCGATCTCTCAACTTAGCGGCTGGATCCTCTCGGAGAGCGTCCGTCCCGTCGACGATGAGTGCCTCCGCCGATTCGCACCCCACGCGTCCGTGCCCGTGACTACCAATACCAACACAAATCGTCGCACGCAACAAATTCTCGTTAGACGTTTCAAATTTTCAAATCTCCGAAGTAATGGACGGATCCCCCTCGTTTCACGTGCTTGACAACTCGACCACGAGGCGGCACTGACGGCAGTGTGACGTACCGGGACTATCGAGCACGAAGAACGAATATAATAGTATGCACAGTGAAGAGGAAGAAATGTAACTCGGTTCACGATTATCACGTTGTTGGGGGATGCTCGCACATGCTCAAGTGAGGAAGGAATATCGTGAATTCCTCATGGAAAAAGAAAGGAAATGATAAATAATAGTCAGACATCTCTTTTATGATATAAATAATTTAAAATTTCAAAATCGATCATTATCGGCCCCCTGATTAATAATAAATAATTAATAATAAATATTTATTAAATTTTTATTAATAATATTAATTATTAATAAGTATATAAATAAATGTTTATTACATTTATGTATTATTTACATGCGATTATAATAAACGCATGAATATAAGTGCGTTACAATTTTTAAAAAATTTTTTTCTTCGGTTCTATAATTATGCCACACAATTTTTCTGTCAACATTAGTAGCCTCGATAGCAACATTTCGCTACAAAAAGTATATGTACACTCTGAATTAATTTATGTTATATAACTCACGACAGCTGCTGTGAAGAGCCTTTGTATAGAAATATTGATGACTGGTCGGTTTCTTATCTTATCTCTCTTTTTATTTAATTATATCTTCCCTCTAAAACTGTTCTTATGTTCATTAATTGAATTGTGTTTATTATTGTCTATTTTACTTTTTCTTTGACTCGTAGATCCTCTTCCGTAAATTAAAATCAAGTTTTTACTTAGAAAAATACATCGAGATGCCGACATTGTTTTATATACAATTAAAAACCAATTAGATTTTTAAACTCATAGATTTAATTTTTAACGAAAATTTTAAGTCAACTTTTTAGAATATCCAAATTTTGAGCGATTAAAAATAAATAATTTCTAGGAACTAAATCTTAAAACTATTGAATAATAAATCGATATTTATTGGTTCTTTTTATACACAAGTGAATTATTTCTTCAAAATTCTTTTTTGCAAAGGCTCTAGTGTTAAAATATGAACAATTAATTATTCATTGATGCATACTCATATACGTTACATATTAAATGACAAACATATTGTATTAAAAACTGAAGAAAGTGATGCCTCTGTATATATCGCAGTGATATATTAAAATGATCTTAAAATTTAATTTAATATAAATTTAATTCTAAATTTTAATTGAAATTAAATAATCAAATAAGATTTAATTTAAAAAATATACAAAATATAGTATAATTAAAAACAAGAATTATGTAATATGCCTTTCTTAAATCTCTCATTTAACATGATTTATAATGCTTACATGTGCAAACTATTTCATGAAACTCAATAACTTGTCCATTCTATTTTTTACTCTCCATTTTTGGCAGATTTTGAAGCTATTATTAACTATAAATTATATATGTATATCTCAAAAGAAGAGAATTATTTGCATTTTCATTATAAAATACACAAAAAATTTTATTTTAATAATCTATGATTTATATAAGTATCAATGTAAGTATGACGTGTATGAATATCATTGCTGTATAAACGTTAAAATTACAATCTAATATATTAAAACTTTCGATTAATTCTATTATTAAAAAAATATATTTGAAATATTCATACATATTTATTATACGTATTTATTATGTACTGATACAAAGCTATAACTTACAGGTCAAGAGAAAGAAAGCGAGAGCACGTTGCTTTCAAACCAAATTTATTTTTCCATAAGATTTCATAATAAATTTTCAGTATAATCTGCTATTATATTAGCGGTGCGCTGTTGGTCGGACAAAAGAAATAAATCAATTTAGTGTTGTATAATGCAGGTTACATTATTACTTAAATCTATTGCAATATAATAAATTTATATTACCGCCAGAAGCCAGTACAGACAGACTATAGAATTAGGGGCAGGGATTCGGAAGCAACAGAAAGTACGATACGAATAAAAGTGTATAGAACATTTCGGTCTATACACGCAAGTGAGATATCTCGATATGATGACGAGTCACTTGTATCATTACGGATAATAGCAATGTCTGAAACACACGATAATGTAGTCACGTAAGATTTTTGCAGTATGGCGCGCGCGCCATATTCAGAGAAATCACAAATCAAGATATTCCCCTAAATTTATCAATTATCGTTCGCATTAACCCCTTCGCTACAAGAAGCCACCGTCGTAGTTCGTTGGGAAATATTTTTCCATATGTGGACAGGGACAATTCGATAATTCGTCAAATCCCTAAACAAATTTCAGTAATTTCTTACTCGTCGATTCATGATTCACATTTGTACAATAATATTAATGTATCCGACGCGATGAAATTATTATTTCAATTTCGAGAAGTCAACGTTTCAATTTCGGATGCAGTACTCTCAAAATAGAGTAGCGTTCTTGCTCCACCGAGCAATTATCATTCGCCATTGCGAAAGGGTTAAAGAACGACGTAACGCGATACACAAAAGAAAGAACAAATATAATTTTGGTAAGTGCGTCTATACTGTTTCTCGGTCACGTCGACCGCTAGCCCATGAATGCTAAGGATCTACCAAAAGAAAGCAATCTTTCCAATTGTGCGCTCCGTTGACCCCTGCGGTAAAATAAGCAATAGATACAAAATAAAGGAAAAAAAAAAAAAAAACTAATCAACATGATCAAAACCACCGATGAATTTCTCACGACTGGCGGAGACGCCGGCCCTCTGAGAATGGATGTCCCATCTCCGTGATAATATTGAAACATTGGCTTTTCATACTGTTCTTCTGATGATGCAACATTGGCGATTCCCATCGACAAAATTCCGCCGGAGAAATCGATGTTAGACTTTCAATGTCGTGTGTGACGTGCGCCCACGCGTTCGAGCAACAAGTACGTACGTTGATGTAAAATACCCTCTTCTTCCGCTCGAGATAAATGGTGGATACAAAGGAACTCGAATACAGTGTCTGTCTCTTTAATTTCCCCCTGTGCTCTTCCAGTTCGATTATCGAATCCGTGACAAAGTGGGAAGAAACATGTGGCGTTTTGGTACTGCATTGCAATCCGATGGCTTATTTAGACTGCTAGAAAGATCATTCACGAATTCCCTCGTAGATTCACCATCCGAGCGTGACGCGACGTCGGTATACTCGTCAAATTCGGTCGAATTGCGAAGCAATATTCTTCTATTTCACATCTCGTTTTTTCTTTGTATTATTTTCATTCCTTTTTTTTTTTATTTAGTTATAGCGTCACTCGATCCCCACGAGAAAACGGTCCGTTCACAGTAAGCGCGTGTCACGGTGATTGACAGTAGTCGTTCGTTATACTCCAGTCTGTACGATGTCTTTCCGCTCTCGTTGCACTCGTTACAATCAGTAGATACAGAAGCCTTGCGTGTTTCCGTGTTCACGGTGGAATCCTCCAACAGTGAATTAGCTTACGGAACCTTCGTTCTCCTTTCATTCCCCTTTGCCTCACGCCGAGGACATGAGCGTATGCTGCATAATATCGTACTCGATCGTCGAGCCGTCGTACCGTTTTGCGCAGTTAGTGATTTGTGGTTGTTGGTCGAAGAAGAATTGGTCGAACGAGCCTTCATGGCATGGCAATTGCGTTGCTCAGCCGTAGGTAGGTCTCGGCTCAGTAGGGCTGTGAAAACTGTCCTCCGGCTTGTGACTGGCCCGACTGATAAAAACCACTTCGGTCACCCTGGTAGGTCGAGTCCTGCGATAACAGGCCGTCCATCTGCGACTGGAATTCGCCGACCGCGAACGAGTCCTGGGAGAGTTCCGCCTGACTGAGACCAGGCTGCGAGAGACTGAAGCCAGGTTGGGACATGCCCTGGGTCGTGCCCTGCGTCAGCGGCAAACCCGGTTGGCTGTACGGCTGCGTGTTTTGCTCGGTCTGGCTCAGTTTTCCCATACGCGGACCCGATTTATTCCTCGCCGAGGTGGTGATACCGCGCCGGTTTCTCTGATTCTGGCGTGCCTGTAACGCTTGCTGGTGCTGATTGTAGAAACGCGGCGGCACGTGCGCCATGTTCATGAACATACCGACCGGTACGGGCATGTTGTTCATCGCCGCCTGCGCCCGCTCCGGGCTGATGTAGCTGATGGTATCGTGGGTACGGCTGAAGATGTCGAGCGGCACGTTTCTTTGGTAGTACGGATTGTGATTCTGCGTGCCGTTCACCTGTGTGCCAGAACGATCGTACACTGATCCGGGGATCAGGGCCTCACGCGCATCGTACATGGACGTGGACATGAAGTGCGAGCCTGGATTAGCCGCGTTCACTAGTTTCTTTGGCTTAGCGAATTGAATCATGGACTCCTTCAGATTGTTCAACGGCCCCTCGACCAGCACCTTCTGCTCCTTGTAAAAGCTAAGCAGGTGGTTCCAGAGCGGCTGCTTCGAGAGCACCTTGGGATTTCCTACGATTATGATGCCGTACTTCGCCCGAGTCAACGCCACGTTCAATCTCCTGGGATCGTTCAAGAATCCAATGCCCTGATGCTCGTTGGATCGTACGCACGACATTATTATTATGTCCTTCTCTCGTCCCTGAAAAGCGTCCACACTCGCCACTTCAATCTCTTGATACAATTTCGAATGTAGGGAACCTTGGTACTGCATATACTGTACAAGATAGGCCCGTTGACCCTCGTACGGGGTTATCACTCCGATCTGCTCCGGTTTCACACCGCAACGTAAGAATCGTGTCGTTATCTTCTCAACGTTAGACGCCTCGGTGCGATTCAAGTAAGACGTCCCACTTCCAGCTATCTCCTCTTGACCTTGCGTAACGTAGAAAAACATCGGTTTGTCGGGTGCAGGCCAGGGAAAGTCGATTTTCAGTAATTTCCTTTCGTCAGCGCAAACGCCGTTCTGCAGGGAGCCTTCGTAGAAGAAGTTGGATGGAAACCGCGAGAGATCGGGATGCATACGATATTGTACTTCCAAGCGGAACGGCCTGATTCCCAACACAACCAATCTCTCGAACAGAGATTGAGACAAACCGGCTCTGGCGGCTTTCTTGCACATCACCACCGGTCCTAATTGGCAGTGATCTCCGACGAGGATCAATTGCTTCGCTCCTAGGACAACCGGTACCATGCATTCCGGCTCGGTAGCCTGCATGCTCTCGTCGATCAGTATAGAATGGAACTTTAATCTGTGCAATCTCGGATCACCGGCGCCGACGCACGTGCAACAAATTACATCGGCCGCTTCGAGAAGCTCCTTTTCCGACGCTTTCTTCAAGAGCCTGTAGCGCTTCTCGTCGACGCTCGACAGTTCGCCCGTCTCGTCTTTCAGTTGTTGCAACTTCTGCAACTCGGTGTTTGTCTCCATGTTTTTAATTTGATTATGCAACGCGAGGAAACTCACCGGCGAGTCGATGGCCTCTCGCGATTTGGCACACAACCGTACGACTTTCAAGTTTGACTTGTGTATCTTCTCGGTCAATTGATCGACAGCGGTATTTGAAGGAGCGCATACGAGAACCGGACCACCGTTCTGTTTCACCAATTGATAGACTATAGTAGCGCTCGTCACGGTTTTACCTGTTCCAGGTGGGCCTTGAATCAGGGATAAGGGTCGTTGTATCGCGTGTTTCACCGCGTACACCTGCGATCTGTTCAAGTCAGGTAGATTCGGTGCGCTAAAATGTTTCGGGAGGTGACAACGGAACAAGACCTCTTCTACTTCGTGTCCCAATAGTCTGTGGTATATGTAAGCCGACACAGATGTATCATCCACAGCAAACTTCCGTAATGCGGATTGCATTCTATAATAAAATAAAAATACTTATTAAAACCGTAATTATGAAAAATTAAAGTCATAATTATTAAATAAAGTCATAATATGGAAAACAGCGTCAATATGCAATTTTGTTAAAATCTTACCGATCGAAACTCGTGCTCTTCCAAATAAAGTCAACGACAAAGTTGCTAATACATTCCGTCGGTGCTCCAGAATTGTTCTTCAGCTCAATTCCGACTTCCTCCCCGTAATTGTCGGGAATCTTAATCACGTGTCCAATTCCAGACCAAGGCTTGTGAAGTTCTCCCAAGTAACGAAGTCTCAATTCATCTCCGTGCATCAATTTCATATCTCCGTCTGTTTTGGCCAGCATGAAATACGCGATGGTCTTCTTGTTCAATCCAACGTCCCATCGTACTTCAATATTCTCTTGAGTTTGAGATTCTTTCAAACGTTTATCGTAATCAGCTTCCAATTTCACAAGTGGGCCAAAAATATTTTGATACTGATATCCATCCTCGTAGCGTAATAGAACCTGCTGCGGTTCCTCGTCCACTCCAGGTTTTTCCAGATCTTGGAAAGTAGCATCAACGTTGTCCCGCCATAACTCCTCCAATTTATTAATTTGCTGCGCGGAGATCTGTCTGGCTCTCAGCTGTTCTTGTTCGGACGGGAACTTCACTAACCACGACAAAAAGCTGCGATCTTCGATCAAAGGCTTCCATTGCTCTTGATCCCTGAATATATCCAAACAGTAAAATATAGTTATAAACGTGAAATATATACATCTATATTATATATATTTTAGAGATGTTGTATCCTTGTGCACACAAATACATATATATAAAAAATCATTTTATTCCTTTCGGAAATAATATATATAAATGAAGATAATTCATTCTTACCAATTCATATCTTTCAAAGAATTCTGTGCCGCGCACGGTTGGCGGCAGAGTAACACAACTACGGAATCAGCTTTAGCAGGAATAAAACCCAATACGAAAACATTTCTCGTGGCACACGAATAACATTCCAAAACGGTTTCCCCAAGAGCGCCATCTCTGCAACAAGTCAATGGATTTTTATAATCAGAAAATTTGTAATTGAAAGAGACATAAAGAATATAGTTTCAAGTGTTTCTTTTACATGTCTCCTCGTAACATGTCTATCATAACTTTTAAAACAGCATAAAAGACCTCACCTGTGTAAAGTGACTTCCTTGTGTTTAGCACGGACAAGATGATTGATGATGTGCGATCCCGATGTATTGCCCCGTCCATTACAGAACCACTTCCGGCAGACGTTGCACATAACGACGCAGGACGCTTCATGGATACCGCAGTATTTACATGCATGTTCAGGCAAATCACGATTATAATACGCCTCTTCCTCCTCCTCCTCAAATTGCAACTCCGCGAGACTCTGGGCTGCTCCAGAAATCTTCAAATCCAACGACGAGCTGCCAATGCTACCATTCGTTCCATTAACCTAAACGATTTATTAGAAGGGTATTAAAAAATACATCAGAATAAGTGTCAAAATTGCAGCAAAATCCGCCGATAAAAAGCGCAAAGTTTGTAAAACAGATGTTATTGAAAACAAAACGATTACTCGATGCACGCGAGGGGAGAACAACTTTCGCTCGAGAATGAAATTCGGGAAAGAGTCTAATCCTCTCGGTATAAAAGATACAATGCGGCGTCTTTCTTTTTATCTATGTAGAGCGAGACATGCTTCCTCTATCGCGAATTTATTTCAAGCCGGGAGAAATTAGTTTATCAGAGTTAAATACATCATCACGTTTCTCCTTATCTCGGCGTCTCGCCTCAATGCTGAGCACGCCCGCGGACGGATTCCGTCATCTCTGCCACATTTGAAGCCGCGCGGAAGCAGCTTGCGTAACTTTGGCGGAATGCCCGGAGAGCGACCGCGACTAACCTCGCCGCTCGCAGCTGGCGCGCGAGGGAGACGGGGATTGTGTCGTCCCCGTCGCGCTTCTCCAGTCGAGCGGGCGATCAAGGTCACGCCGAGGACGTGCGCCCGCCGGATATTCCGTGTACGGAAGAATTCGCGGCGAGCAGGGAGAAAAAAAAAGGACGCGGGGTCAGGGAGCGCGGGAGATAAAGGATGGAGGCGGAGTGCGGAGCGCCGTCGACTCTCTCTCTCTCTCTCTCTCTCTCTCCGCGCCTTTGCCGCCGCACGCGCGACTTGGAGGTTAGGCCGCGTGGCTGAGGCGACGACTCCGGGGGGCCGTCCCCGTCGCGTCACGGGGGACTCACCGACCGGGAAACCGAGATGAGTGTGCGCGCGCGCAAAATTGGGCCGTAGAAACCAACCTGAACAGGTTGACTGGACTGCGTCTGGGTCACGTCGTGCTGCGAGGCCTGGGTCTGACTCGGCGACGGCAGGGTGAAGTCGGTGAAGTCGAACTCGCTGCCCTGCGTGTCCGCGCCGATCAGGTCCGTCTCCTCGGTGTCGAGGAACGTGAGGGTCTGGCTGCTGGGCCCGTACGCGTCGACGCTCATCCTGGCACGATCCGATCCGCTTTCTCGTCTCTCTCTCTCCTCTCTTTCTCTTTCTTCCTTCCCCTCTTTCCCCTTTCTCCTTCTCTTTCTCACACTCTCGCTCTCTCTCTCTCTCTCTCTTTCTCACTCTTTGTGTCTCGCGATTTCCGCGTACCCCCGCACCTCAGCAGAGGACAGAATTAGCGGACCGAGCGCTGCTATACTCGCGACTCGCGGACGCGTACGCCTTTCCGAGCCTGACAACGCGGCCCGTACGGACGCGAAGCGAAGCGAACGCGGTGCGTGCGACGCGTACGCGCGATGACGGAGGGCTGCACTGGGCTGCACGCGCGCGAGAGAACGGGCGCTCGCTCGGCCGATGACGGGGAGAAGCGCGTTACCACCTCGCCGATGCTCTCTCCTACGCCGCGCGCCGTACGTCTGCCGCTTTCGCGCTCGCACACCGCGCCAGAGACGCGCACACACCGACCACCGACACCGGACACAACAGACCGCACGCAATTATTCTCGTCCCGCACGCGTGAACGCTCGTCGTATGTTACGTCATCAGCTGATCGGACGACTGGTGTGCGAAGCAATAGCGAGCGAGCGCCGGAACTAGCGGAAGACGGCCCTTAGGGCCGATCTTATATGGCAAAGTGGTAACGCGCGGACGGACGGCGACCAATGGCGACCCGAGTCGCCCGCGAGGTCGGTAAGACTATTCGACCGAACGGACGCGTCGTCGTCGCACAGATGACAGCAGCTACGCCGTCACGCCGCTCATTCAAGAATGTTCAAGCAAATTGCAAAAGTGGGCATATCCAATAGCCATTGCTGGTGATCAATGAAATATTCTAAGAAATTTTCTCACTTTTGGAGTTTTCACCAATTTCCGAGAACCGTATTAAATACCCCTCCCTCAGATGTGAGATTCGTAACTGCAATGGTACGTATGTTTGTTGAATGTTTTTTTTATTACATCATCCTATTTCGAAGATTTAATGGCTCAAGGGGTTATCTATTCTCGAAAAATTTCTCATACGAAACAATTCTATTATATGACTCAAATGTTCAATAAGTTAATTGGCGATTTAACCGGCAGAAACCGGCTTAATTACAACCAAATTTCCAGCTATATGTAATCATCTTTAATCTAATTCTTCGCTTTCCATGAGTCACAGAGGCAATAAAAAAATTAATAAACAACGAATAAATAAATGGATCAACGAAAAGATAATTACGCAAATAAATGAAGAGTGTGTCGATCAAGTGATTCTTGGTGCTTAATAATATTTTTACATGAATTTATATACATTTTCGTGATATTACTCCAGTTTTATTAGTTTAGGATGTGTTTTTCAAGATTGCCAAATAATTGGCGTGATTTGCCTGAACTAGAAACTATGTATAAATTTACGCGAAAATATTGATTTGCCTGAACTAGAAAATGTATGTATAAATTTACGCAAAAATATTATTATAACCGTTATAGGCTCCAATTAAGAACCGCTTTGACTGGTAAAAAAAATGCTCTTTATTTATTTTAAAAAATTAATAATTCTATCCGTATTAGACAGTCAATTATCCATATTAACAAATTAAAATAGTACAAGTATTACTCGATTTGTTATTCGGTCATTTAAAGTCAATCGAAATTTGATTGAAGTCGTTCCAAATTTTTGACGGTGTGTATTTAATTTTGAAGATTAGTTAATCTAATCTAATGTACATCAATACTAGCTATTTTTGTTGATATTATTGTCGTTACTATAGCTGGATAGCTCAAGCTTTTTTTTTCCTTCATAGAGAACGTATATAATTATATCATTTTATTTTAAATAAAATAAGCATAAAGAGAATTTTATTGTTAATTGTTCAGTTCAAGTATATTTTACTATTTTATACAATTAGCTGGCAATACAACTTTTCATTGATTCAGAAAGATAAATAATATGGGAATTGAAAAAAAATATAATATTTTGGTAAAGTAAATAGGCTTAAAAAAAATAACAAGCTACTTTATGTATTTTCATAGATATTTATTGTCATAATTTTCTAATATATACTACATTATATATATGTATATATATAATATACTAATGTCGACCCATATAATATGTATATATTAGAAATGTGTGTACACATATATGAACGTAACAGTAATCAAACTTACAACTACTACATTGATATAGATTAATAAATACACATAATATGTACAAAAAAATGTTTATAATGTGATTTTTATGGCGTATACAAAGAATGTATAGCTACTTCTTATCTACTATGGTACAACATTCTGCATTTAATATCGACGTTAACTTTGTCCTTTTATAAAACTTCTACTATTCATTGGTTAGACAGCATAAGCGAGGGTGCGAGATATAATTAATGCAGTTTCTCTTAATTCTAGTCAATCCTTTGTAAGAAACTTCTAAAATGAGTATTATAATTTACACATGCCAGTGCGATCGCTTTTTGAAAAATATTCATTGAAAAAATTTGATGCTATTAAATCTAAAATTTGATTCAATTTATAATTATACATAAATTTCACAATTACTTAACTGATACCAATTAGTATTTATTATGACTCGCAAATGTTCATCTTTACTCAAAACAGAAATTAGAACACATGAAATCCAACACATGAAATCAACTTGAAATGATTAATTTGTACAAAGAGAAACTCACGATTACGAAGCACGAGATCAATCTTTCGTTAATCTAATATATACGATAAAACGCTTCAAAGCGATCTTATTGTCCAAGAAGGAATATAGAGAGACGCTTTTTCGTTTCTTTTCCTCAAAGGATTCATTTCACCCTCGATTTTGCAAATATTGAAAGAGAGAGGTCCATTTCTAAATCTATAATATAATATTCTATGTACAACTACAAATCATAAATTTAATTAGGCGCTTGTTTGCTGTTAAAAATAAATAGATTTGAATTCAAATCACGAATGGCGTCTTTAATCCGCCAATATATTTCGTAAATGATAAAAAATTGTCAACAAATAAGATGGAGAGATAAAAAATCGTGACATCGCCGAATAATGAAAAAGGAGATGAAAGAGTTACATTCTTTAATTAGAATTGCATTCTTTAATCTATTTACAGATTTTTCTAATTAGATTATCTCTAAAATTATCAGAATTCTATGTGCGATTTAACTCTCTTTCGCTATGGAATCACTATAATTGGCTACTATCGTGCGTTTATTACGAAATGCCAAAAAGTAATATCTATAGAGTAAAGTTTCCGACTTTCTCATTTGGTTCCATTGTTGTGCAAAAAGATTAATAATCCTACGAGTGAAGCTTTTGTAATAGAAAAATCAGTACATCGCTTCCTTGCAGGGATTTGGTGTATATCAGCTAAATCGATATATGATATTCTTATATGAGTAAATTAAATTAAAACATTTATATTTATATACAGGCGCATCGTACGAGCCGACTCGAAGATCAATCCATTTTTGGACATAGATGAAAATTTTTTTTAGATTGTATGCTAAATTTATTCCTCTACATATTTTCGGGGTATTTCATGATTTCATTTCTTCTACGTTTTGTTTACTTCCGATAGTTACATATTAATATTATAAAACGTTAATAAAAAAATTCCTATCAAATCGCACGGTTCTTTTTCTCTCAACATCGTGCAGGAGCACACCGTGTATACGTTATTGTGACATATTTACAAGTTCTAAGATTTATTGATACGGCAGTAGTAATAATAATAATAATAATAATAATAGTATTGGTCCAATCGCCATTAGTTCCACAAAACGAAGCAGAATTCTCAAATTGGATTTTATAGAATTTGCCATCGCGAATAATATCTTTTAACGTATTAGGACGAACTCTATTCGTATTTAGAGTGAAAGGATCACGAGATTCCTAGAACGTTCACCGAGAAGTTATTTCGTCAGCATAAGCAGAGGCAAGGTGGTTCAACGATCGCGTGGACCACGACGGTCCGTCCGTCGTCAGTCTACAGTCAATACTGAGGATTCGGCGAGTTTCTTTGGAAGCTACTCTGCGCGCTTTGATTCTGTTGAAGAGGTCCGGCCGGACTCGGCCTTCCCTGATCGCGATACTGCGGGGGTCCATTGGGTGGGCCCGGTGGTCCAGGCACCTTGCCGTAATTTCCCCGCGTGGAGCTCTGGTAACTGCCGTACGCGGAATCGTCGCTGCGTCTCGACACGTGGCCGTACATGCTCTCGGGCCGCCTGGAGTTCCCACTATCCGAACTGCTCGATAACGGTCCGTTCTGATGCTGTTGCTGCTGCTGCTGCTGCTGCTGCTGTTGCTGCTGCTGCTGTTGCGACGGCGGCTGCGGCGGCGGCGGCGGATGATTCTGTATCGAGGACTGACCACTCTGACTGGACTGCTGCGAATTCTGGCTGCTCGGCGGTGGTGCCGGCGCGCGACCGTAGATGGTGGACCCGGTGGAAACTCCGTAGATACCGTTCTCCCGAGTGCTGAGACCCGTGGAGATCCCGCGGATGCCGTAGATGCTCTGAGTGCATTGCTGCAGCTGATTCTGCATGTTCTGATTGGTGCTGTTGTGATTCTGCGTCTGACTCGGCGGGCCGCCGAGGCCGGGCTGGGTCTCGCGTGCGCCGTTCTGACAGCCGTTCTGACCTAATCTGATGGGATACAGGCTCTGCGCCGGCACCAGCGGGCCCGGCTTCGGGATCATCAGACCGTCCCGCGGGCCCGACGTCGACTTCGCGTAGACGCTCTGCGAGCGGTTGAGATTGGCGCGCGTCAACGGCGGCGATTTGCAGTAGAGCGACTTGGTGCCACCGTAGATCGACTCGACACGTTCCAATGCGGACGGCGGTGCGCTGTAGATCGACGAGGACGCGCCGGCGACCGGGCGATAGGTCGCGTACGCGCCGGGGAACTTGGGCCCGTTCGGCTTGTCCAGATCGTCGTACGTGTCCTCGTCGGACCTCATGGACGAGTTGTCACCATCGTCCATGTCGCGCGAATCCTTCGTGCGTCTGGAATTCAGAACGTATTCGTGCAGCAGAGCCGCCACAGCACCTCCCGACAGCGGGCCCACCCAGTACACCCAGTGGTTGTCCCAGCGATTCATCACGAAAGCCGGACCCAACGCGCGCGCTGGATTCAGGAAAGGACTCTGAAAATATTAGGAGGAAAAAATTACTAATGTATGTTATATTATTATGTATAATATATAATTTTATTATAGTTAAATATATTTTTTTGCTATTACATATAATTAAATAGATAATTATACGATTTTTTAAGAATAATTCTTTTGTTAAATAATCGTGAACACTCTTAAACATGATTGTGCCGAAATTTTTTTTGAAAACTTGTAAAGAATTACAAATAGATATTAAATATTTCTAATAAATTTTATTTCACGTATATTACGATACGTTCCACTTTTTCGTATTGCATGAAACAAAGAAACGTGCGAAGATACTTAAGGAATTTCCATAGACATATAAGTATATGTATATGGGAATTTCGCACTGAAAGCAGTGAACTTGTTCGATTTTGCAAGGGGATCAACATTCAACACGTGTGGAACGTTGGTTTCGACATTTTTCGTTTTAGGGTGCATTGTACACTCGTTCCGGAGCAGGTGGGTCCAGGATCAAGTTCTTTCTTTCACCTCCCTGCTCGCCGTTCTCCACGAGCCCACCCTTCTCCCCCATACAACGGCAGGTGCTCTTTAAAGATGCGGACGTCGGCCCGATTGGAAAGAGTCCGACAGACGCTTTTGGACAGAGAGTGGTTGCAAGAGACGACATACACAGCGGAAGAAGAAAGCAAAGAACGCTGTTCTTTCATTAATTACGCTCGTAGAAAAGGTAATATTTTTTCTTACGTGGCGTAATCACTTAATACGAAAAAAATATAGAAACTTGAAAGAAGAATTAGTTTATAGATAAAAAATTATCTTGTTAATGATAATTTTGTCATAATTTCTTATAATGAAATATTATTAATAATTGCATTATTAATAACAAAAGATTCAAATTATAAACTGAGTTACATACATACACCATATTTGAACAATTTTATTTATAATTATTAGAAGATATGCAAACTCGGGTAAAATAAATTGGAGCAGCCAAAACAACACATGATTATCTATAATGACATTAAAATCATTAAAAGTAATAATTGATTATCGATTTAATGATGCGAAAATTATTGTATCCGTTACTCTCTATTCGTCCAAAATCGTTTTTTAATTAAAACTATATAATTAAATGCTCATAAAAAGTAAACTTACGAAAACGAGAGTAGCCGCCGTATAGGCAGCGGCTAATACTGCGGAAGCTTTCGAAGAAATCGTAGGTGGCAATGATCTAGGTGAGTCCACAGCGAAATGAGCTAGCACAATAAGTACTGATAGTGCTATCTCAATCAAAAGCTTCTCGATTGGACCCCCTAATCGACCGGGGGATGTCAGGGTCTGCGTACTCGAAGGTGTAGTTACTCTGAAATTAAAATAGAAATTCGATAAATATTGCTTAAGTAATAATTAATTCTTTCAAAATTATTTGCCGGTACATGATTCATCCATTAACGAAACTTAAATATTATTGTAAATTGCTTGAGTATAGAACTATCACGTCGTGAATAATTATATTTAATTTATCTGAGTACGATATCGAGTATTATTAAGGACACATTATCAGAAATTATACTTCATTGTAATTTCTGTTTAGCTTTTTCAAAAAATAATTGATAAAAACCAAGTAATAAAAAAAAATAAAGATCATTTCTTTAGGAAAAGAAAATTATCGATCGTTCGCCAAAAATGATCACATATGGTCTTCTATATGACAGTAGCGTCAGTATGAAGAAGTTATATGCACGACCGCGATATGATATACGATGATTTTCCTATTGAAGCTTGCCGCGAAACATGCACCCCGCATAAAAACCCCCTGCGGTAAGTCGGTCCCAGTGGTGTAATGTTTATATTAGCTAGTGCATCCTCGAGCCCTTAAACGTGACCCCGATGTGATGTTTCCTCTCATGACGTTTCCCTTGCATAAAATTCTCGTTGATTTTCTCAGTTCATATAATCATATGGGGTCGCAGAGATGTGACCTCTTTAATCGTACCCCACGAATGCTCATACGGTTACATTTCACGCTATGCCAAATTCAAGTTTGTTTGTCAAAATATGTTGATGATATAAAAAAATGTATGTCAAATTCAAACGCGTCATAGTGTAATTAAATGTTTTTATAAGAAAAAATTATAGCTAGTTTTCCCAATAACTTGAAAAAATTAATTTGTACTTAATCTAGCCTGTATTTTAATATTTCAACTTTAAGATTTAGCTATACTTTAAATTTTCAAAAAAGTGGATTAAATTGTTAAGCAGAAAAGATACAAAAAATGTTAATATTTTTTTGTTTTTATTATTTAATTGTCCTAAGATTTCTTTTTGTTTTAATTTTTCATATTTATTTGACAAATTTCCTTTATCCTGCCTCTTCATAAGTTTTTATTCATGCTGTTTATACATGCATGGACTATAAAGTGACTTTATATAGTCAAAATTCCTCGAGTTCAACTTTTAAACTTCAATGAAATTACCATAATCACGTCTCTCGCATCATTTTCTATCCCAGACACCTCCTTTACGATCAACGTCGAGATTTGCACGTAATAAAAGCACGAAGATGCTTGTGATTTTAACAATCTTGACATCTATTTAATATCAAGAAAAGATAGAAATAAAAAACAGAAAATATTTGCAAAATATTGCATATTCGAAAAAATTATTAGATTGTTCTCTCCTTCTCTCTCTCTCTCTCTCTCTCTCTCTCTCTCTCTCTCTCTCCCCCTCTCTCTTTCTCTCTTCCTCTCTCCCTCTCTCTCTCCCTCTCCCTCTCACTCTCCCATTTCTCTCCCCTCTGTCTCCCCCCTCCCTCCTTCCCTCTTACTCTCACTCCCATCGTCCCTCCCTCTTACTTCCCTCTCTTTCTGTCTCTCACTCACACTCCCATCTTTTCTCCCTCGCACCCCCCCCCTCTCTCTTTGTCTCTCCCTTTCACTCTCACTCCCATCTTTCCTCCCTCCCAATCCCCTCCTTCTCGCTCACTTCCTTTCATTCTTACTCCCATCTTCCCTCTCTCCCAACCCCCCAACTCCTTCTCTCTCTCTCTCTCTCTCTATCTCTCTCTCACTCACTCACTCAAAGAGAAAAAGGGAGAGAGAGAGAGAACGAGCGAGCAAGCAAGCTGATTCTATACACATATTTGGATGGTCGGTATTTCTGAGAGGGTCGGTAACTTAAATCAGTGCCATCTAGCGGTACGGT